AAAACAGCATGGCTTAGGTACAAAAACAGACACATAGACTGATGCAACAGAATACTGAACTCAGAAATAAGACTGCACACTTACAGCTATCTGATCTTTGACAAACCTAACAACAACAACAAAAAGCAATGGGGAAATGATTCCCTAGTCAATCAATGGTGCTGGGATAACTGGCTAGCCATATGCAGAAGATTAAAACTGGGCCCCTTTCTTGCACCATATAAAAAAATTAACTCAAGATGGATTAAGGACTTAAATGTAAAACGTAAAACTGTAAAAACCAAAGAAGACAACCTAAGCAATACCATTTAGGGCAATGTCAATAAGGGAAAGGTTTCATGACAAAGATGCCAAAAGCAGTTGCAACAAAAGCAAAGATTGACAAATAGGATCTAATTAAACTTAAGAGCTTCTGCATAACAAAAGAAACTATCAACAGAGTAAACAGGCAACCTAAAGAATGGAAGATAATTTTTGCAAACTATACATTCAACAGAGGTCTAATATCTAGCAGCTGTAAGGAATCTAAAAAATTTACCAAAAAAAACCTCAATGCCATTAAAAAGTGGGCAAAGGATGTGGACAGATACATTTTTTTTTTTTTTTTTTTTTTTGAGACAGAGTCTCGCTCTGTCACCAGGCTGGAATGCAGTGGTGCAATGTCTCAGCTCACTGCAATCTCCGCCCCCTGGGTTCAAGCGATTCTCCTGCCTCATCCTCCTGAGTAGCTGGGATTATGGGCATGTGTCACCAGACCCAGCTAATTTTTGCATTTTTAGTAGGAACGGGGTTTCACCATGTTGTCCAGAATGGTCTCCATCTCCTGACCTTGTGATCTGCCCACCTCAGCCTCCCAAAGTGCTGGGATTACAGGTGTGAGCCACTGCGCCCGGCCAACACTTTTAAAAAGAAGGCACACATGCACCAACAATCATATGAAAAAAGGCTCAACATCACCGATCATTAGAGAAATGCAAATCAAAACCACAATGAGATACCATCTAACACCAGTCAGAATGGCTATTACTAAAAAGTAAAAAAATAACAGATGCTGGCGAGGTTGTGGAGAAAAAGAAATGCTTATACACTGTTGGTGGGAGTGTAAATTAGTTCAACCATTGTGAGAGACAGAGTGACAATTTCTCAAAGACCTGAAGACAGAAATGCCATTTGAGTCAGCAATCCCATTACCACAGGAATTACAAATTGTTCGATTATAAAGACACATGCAGGTGTATGTTCATTGCAGCACTATTCACAATAACAAAGACATGGAATCAACCTAAATGCCCATCTATGATAGACTGGTTAAAGAAATGTGGCACATATACACCACAGAATACCATGCAGTCATGAAAAAGAATGAGATCATGTCCTTTGCAGGAACATGGATAGAGCTGGAAGCCATTATCCTTAGCAAACTAATACAGGAACAGAAAACCAAATACCGCATGTTCTCACTTATAAGTAGTAGCCAAATGATGAGAACTCATGGACATACAGAGGGGAGCAACAGACACTGAGGCCTTTCGGAGGGTGAAGGGTAGGAGGAGGGAGAGGATCAGGAAAAATAATTAATGGGTACTAGGTTTAATTAATACCTGATGATGAAATAATCTGTGCAACAAACCCCCGTGACACAGGTTACCTGTGTAACAAACCTGCACGTGTACCTGTGAACTCAAAAGTAAAAATAAAATTAAAAACAAAAAAACGCTATTATAGCAATCGAGGTGTGAGTGCATATGGATTTGAAACACGATATTGGCAGTGAAAATAGTAAATTTGATATAAGTGCAATATATAGACATAATTTGAGGAAGAATTAATAGGATATAACAATTATTTGTCTAAGGAATTAAATATGGCTAATGCTTACTGCCTGGGAAAGAAAATTTAGGACAAGGAGCCAATTGGGGACACAGAGTAATACTGACTTTGAGGACATAACGAAAAGAACTCAAAGTGAGAATGTTCACTAGACATTAGGAGACAGGACTGGAATTCAAACTGAAGGTCAGTCATAGAAATGCAAAATTAAGGTTATGAAGTCATCAAAAAGAATGAGCTCTCCATAGACCGAAAAGAACATGTACTGAATTTTAAGGGATACCTTTATTCAAGGGAAGTTGGAAAGAAGGAGAGCCAGAGAAAAATGAAAGCATAGTAGGCTTTATTGATTCAATTGCTGGTTTGGCTCTTTGCTTATATAAACATTCATTTAATTATTTCTCTTATCCCAGCTGCTGAATCAATTACCTTGTAATAATAACCGCTTAACTAAAAATCAACAAAGTCTGTAAACTCTCTAAGCTTCTTTAAAAACTATTTTGCATCTGTGTTATATGGAGACAAAATTATCAAATTTGGAATCTAAAACCCAGGGCTTAAATGCTGGCAGTCACTTCCTAAGTGTATATCTTTAGATTGGACAAGTTTAGATTGGACAATTTAAATCCTAAAATCAGAGGCTTCAGCTCTAAAACAAGAATGAAAGATACTCCATTTTTTTTTTTAATAATTAAATGAGATAATACAGTTAAAGGAACTACGTCAGGCCTCTGCCATGTACCATGCTAGTCCCTGACTCTTTCCTGCTTTTTTAGAAAATCAACAATTGAAAGTCTACTATTCGATATACATATGACAGTAGTGTATTTATTTAGTCTTTGAGTTTCTATCATGGTCAGGCACTGCTCTGATACTGAGAATACAGTAGAAAAAAAGACAACGTCCAGTCTTCCTGAGGCCAGAGACTAGTGGAAGAAACAGTGAACTGAAAATACACAGAAATTCAGGCAGTGATAAACTCTTTGAAGTAAAATAGAGCAGAATAAGAGAATGGCAAGATCAGTTTGGGAAGGCTCTATTTCAGATGTAACACTCAAGGGACACACACCTGAAATGAGAGAGAGAGAGACAGACAGACAGACAAAGACAGAGAGCAGTGGGGAGCATGCCATGGAAAGATGCTTGGGGAGGGAAAGCATGCGGAGTGGACAACAAGTGTAAGAACCATGAGGTGGCCATGAGTAGCAAATGCAAGGATCATTAGGAAGATGGACATGTGTGGCTGACGTGGCACGGGCACGAAATAGAGGCAGAGTTGTTGGCAGTGGGAAGGCCATGCAGGTGTACGGACTGTGGGGAGACACTGGAGCTCTTAGAGCAAGGAGCCGTCTGCTTCGGAGGAACGTTAGCGTTCCTAAATTCAAACCCCTGCATTGTGCTTCTCCGTGCCCCTGATTTCCCCTTCCCCATAGCCTGTGTATCAGTGCTGTGCGATGAGTTCTGTTCTGGGTGAAATGCACAAAGTTCCTTCAAAGTTTGAAGGGAGTGGGAAAAAATTAGTGTTAAAGGTTTAATAAGGGTTTCTTAAAGAAAAAGAATAAAGACATGTCAAATGCACAACCCCTTTCCCCACCTGACTTCAAACAAAGAGAAAATCCCACTGTATGTCATTCTACACAGTGTCATTTAGACAAAGACACTGACCATGACAAGTCAATGGCAGAGATTTGGACTTCATGCGGAAGAATTAAAGTAGCAAAGACTGTAAGTTGTAGATTGGCATCTTTAGATTGGCGTTGGCATAGTGACTTCATTTTTTAAATGCTGCCAGAATTTCTTAGAAAAAAAAATTAGAGCATATGGTGATTCACAAGTGCCTGCTGGAAAATTATAAAATCAGCAGCAGTATTTCTGGCTGCTGAGATCCTGTGAACAACAACTACCTTCAAAAGATAGAGGGTAGCAAAGGAACCAAGGGTGCCTTTCTGACTCCACACGGTGTGTAGTATTTTACAACTTGTTTCCCTTTAGCTAGTACTGGCAGTTCTATCACTCTAACAAGAGAGGCACCTTATTAATAATTATTTATTTTAGTCATATCTCAACTTTAAATAGTAAGTACTATGCCACCACCAGTCTATCCTTTCCAGATACCCAAACTGATGCTCAGAGATGTTAAATGAATTGCCCAGTGCCACTCAGTTAAGAAATAGTTGAATTATAATCTGAATGTGGGACCATCGGGTTTCAGAGTCTATGCCCTTGATACTTTACCACAGAACCACAGAGAAGGGAGGTTTTTCAGGGCATGATACTTACTGAAAATAAAAAGATACAACTTTAAATTTGTCCAAGAAAAAATGACTAGAGAAACACATAGCCCATGCAGTTTTCTCTCAGAGATTCTACGTGACATTATTGTTTGCTAGAAAGTAGGGTGCTAGTTGTTCCTTTTGTAAATATAACAGTCAAATCATGTTACCATTAGGACACATTAAAAACATCAAATTACCATTGGACCTTATGTGAACATATTAGGATACTAATGATAGTCTTCAGTGCAATATTCAGATCAATAGTTTAAACCCAAAATATTTATACCTTCAGATTAGATGTAGGCAAATTAATTGATTCATGTGTCTTTTATGTGTTGTTTACAGTTTCAGAAATATTTCAAAATGGAATTCATATAAGTTTAAACACATAATAGTTTTATGTAAAAATATTGTTAAATTACATTTTCCCCTGAATTGTTATTTCTTGGAAATGTGCCTTAGTCACTGAAATATTCATACATTAACAATGAAAGAAGTGAACCTTACTAGGCTTTGACTATCAGATTTGCTGTTGGTTTTTGACTATTGTGAAACTATGTTCTGCTTTCTAAATTAGGAAGAAACCTGTATTGTTAATATGGACACATGACATATTTGTCTGCCTGACTTTTGATCCCAGCTACACCCTCTGGCCTTTCCAAATGATGCTTTAATATCACATAAAGATAAAGGGAGGTGAGATAGCTAAAGGGGGTGATTCCGGATTAGGAGGTAAGGGAGGCCAGATAACATGGTGCTGTGACATCTTCTGTGACTTTTCAGTCACTTATTTCATTAAGAGATATATCTCACTAGAAGTGAGGTAGAATATAACAAATCCATGTTTGCTGGGCATATTTTATGACAACAGAGAAATTCACAGACTGGTCTTACCTGGCAGGGGAGATGGCATGATCATGAAAATGGTTTTTCCCAGGGTGAGCTTCCCCATTGCATTCTGATGTGCTGATTTCCGTGATCTCCCCAAATGTGGGAAACTCACTCGGCTGCATCGCTGGTGGTAGTGGGGGCTGTGTCATGCTCTCCCCTTGATGTCAGGGTTTTTTCCCCTAAAAACAAACAAACAAAAACAACTGGTCTCAGACATTTTGAACAAAACAAGTAGAAGCTGTTTTCTCTAAGAAATTACCAGCAGTGTCTATCTATAGATACATACATATTCACACATGCTCATAAAAACACACAACCATAGCAAAACCCATGCTATAATCTATAAACACTTTTTAGAGAAGAGGAGAGATTGTGTGGGCCAAAAGAGCCAGGTGGGGCAGAACCTAAGAGGACCTCGAGAATGACTAACATTTGATGGCGGCAAGCAGGAGAGGAGGAGAAGGACGTTACAGTCAGTGACCATAGCATAGGTAAAAGCAAAACGGGTGCCAAGGAGAACACTGTACAGACCATTCAGCAAGAAGCCCTTCCTGACTGCCAGGAAGAGGCTGCCTGCAGGAATGGCGTGGAAGACCATCAGCTGCAAGCTGAGGCAAGGCGATGGAGGTTTAGGTTTGCTTCAGTAGGTGAGCTACTTACACAAGGAGAAGCATGATGGAAGTGGTGCTGTAACATTCACATGGTGTGGGTTGTACTGGCAGGAGATGGATGATAGGCTGGCTTAGTGACGGTAACGGGCATCTTTAGATGAGAAGAATGTGCATGAGATTTCAAAAAAAGGATCAACAGAATTGAACTGTATTGAGCACTAAGCTAGTACAGGCAGACAGTTCCAATTGGGTAGAATAACATTACAACCACTTCTTAAGTAAATAATTTGGCAGCCCAGACTTTCTTTTGCCTCATTGACTGAGGCAAGCATCCCAGACATTTGATTTACCAGGCACTCTCATGAAGTACCTCAAGGATGTGCTTCCCTGCATATCTTTTATCACACTTTCATTACAGTGTGCTTATAGATTCTTCCCCTCTGGGTTTTATTTTATTCTATTTTGAGATGGAGTCTTGCTCTTGTCACCCAGGCTGGAGGGCAATGGCACAATTTTGGCTCACTGCAACCTCCACCTCCTTGATTCAAGCAATTCTCCTACCCCAGCTTCCCAAGTAGCTAGAATTACAGGTGCCTGCCACCATGTCCAGCTAATTTTTTGCATTTTTAGTAGAGACAGGGTTTCACCATGTTGGTCAGGCTGTTCTCAAACTCCTGACCTCAGGTTATCCTCCCGCCTCAGCCTTCCAAAGTGCTGGGATTACAGGTGTGAGCCACCACACCCAGCCAAATTCTTCCCCTCTGGGGTTTTAAAGGCCATTTGGGGTTTAAAGGAAGTTTAAAATCTCTCTCTAACCTTGAGATTAAATCAATGTTATTTTAGATTCAAAACTTTCTCCTGTATATAGCAGATAATTAATGTAATTGAAAGAGATTTGATTCCCAGATGTTTATGCATTTGTGATCCCAAAGGCTTCCCTCAGGGAGCCATTCTCATCTGCAGTTAGAAACAAAATGGAAGGACAGCCTCAAAGCAGGCAAACAGTGTCAGTTAAATTCAGATGTCAAACCTGGGTTTTGGTGACAGCCCTGGAGTGTAACATAGTTATGCTAGCTCTCACATCAGCTTCTGAATTTTGCCAATTATGACATTCCCAAGACTGCCCAACAAAGGCTGGCATCTTAATAAAAGACCATTCTTAATTGCTCTTCGTCTGTTACTCACTAGTGGCAGAATACAACCTTTTTATAACAAAAGAAGTTTGCACTGACTCCCATCGAGAGAAATCTAAGTAGAACAGGGGCTACAAAGCAATGGTACTCAGGGCCAGGAATTTAGAAGTTAGATGAAAAGTTAAGACAAATACTAAATACATGCCAAAGGCCCCACCTTCTAATACCATCCCCTTAGCGATGACTGTTTCAACATATGCATTTTGGGGGAATAAAACGTTCAGATGATAGCACTATACAAAGCCTGAAAAGTTATAACACTTCTGCTTTTGAAATATCTGTAATTAGAAGCCAAATAACAAAGGTCTTTGGGAGGTGATTAGGTCATGAGGATGACACCTTCATGAATGGGATTAACAACTTCATTTTTAAAAAGGCCTGAGAGACACCCCTTGCCCTTTCCACCCTGTGAAGACACAACAAGAAGGCATTGACTATGAAATGGAAACCTCCACCAAAAACTGAATTTGCCAGTGCCTTGAACTTGAACTTCCCAGTCGCCAGAACTATGAGAAATAAATTTCTGTTGTTTAGAAGCCACCCAGTTCAAGGTATTTTTAGTGTACAAAGACTACCAAATGTACTGAGACAGTATTGCATAGAAATTACCAGGAGACACAGAAGAGTAGCTATAGAACATGCTTCATGCAACCGGATCTCAGCACTGGGATGTGCTTTGGAAGAAGCATGGATTTTGTTCTGTGACTGGGATTTTCTTATGCTCTTCTTGCCTTTCAATGACTCTAGCTGGAGCTGTGGCCTTCTACATTTTGAAGGAGACAGCGTTGAAGGCTGCCTTTTGCCAGCTGAGATCTAACACTGATTTGTGTAAATTGAGAGGGGATTTAGTCTATTGTCCCAGAACTGAGGATGGAGTCCCTGAATGGCAAGCTTCAGATGAAAATACAGTCCGATGATTATCCATGTGCGCCCTGTACGCTGCCTTGAGAAATGCATCCTAATGATGATGGCTTCAAGTTACGGTGGTCATCACAACACCAGGCAATTTTCATTTTGGCGTTTCACAGAACGTCTACCTTTCCAGAGGCCAGTTCTAAATTTTAATAGCTTCACGTTCTGGCTGATTAGCTGACAAATGCAGTTAAATAACAAGCTTTCACTCAGAGAGAGATGATGCAGAAAGAAAGCTGCCCTCTGATATCCCCACTGATAATAATGTGAAGTGTAGAAGGCCTCAGATGTCTTTTCTGGATACCTGTGTATAATTTTCATCTATATTAATGGAACTCATAAATGCACCACGTGAATAAGAAAATGAATCTGTAGAAGGTAGTCCCTGTTGACTAGGCTGGTTTGGAATTTCAGAAAGTTGCATAACACTTTCACGAATTTTTCTTTATCTTGGAAAAACATTGCCATGTGATAGATTTTATAATGACTTTCAAAAATACAGGGTTTCTAACTGAGAAGTTTGTGAACGTGGCCTGAACATTCTAGCTCATGTGTGTAATTGACAGCAGTGAATTATTTTAAAAAGTTAAGATGGGTCTACCTTGGCTCAGTAACTATTAATATCAAATGAAAGCACACACTGGCATCAGGGGGAAACACAGCCTCCTCACTCTTCCAATTTCGTTTCACATTACCTGCCGACTTCCAGGAAATCCTTTAGGCATAATTGCACTTATTCCCCTAGGCTCCTTACTCTCCTTTAAGACTTCCACTCTGCTATACTAACCTGCACAGGGACAGGGAAGTAACTCTTCGTGCATCTCTTTTCTTTCCTAAGATATGTTGCATAAATGTAAGGGAAAACTACTTGGCAACTCTAACACACACACACACACGCACCCTAGAATTTCTCGGCTCTTCACAAGAGTGTGTTTTCTCCTTATGGAAAAGTTGATGTGGTTCCATTTATAAAAATAGCAGCTATTTAAATGGGAAAAGCTTTTTCTCATATCATCTGTGGGCCAAATGTTTTTCTAAAAACATACATTCTCTTTTTCTAGCAGAGAAGACAGATTCTAAATGGATTCAAGGTTCATCAAATCGCTAAGTTTTCTGTGGGTTAATGCATTTGACAATCAAGTTCACACAAGTGCCAAAATGAAAAGAAGCAAATTAAGAACTGTTCTGTCTAATTTCCTTATGCATTGTGTGTGTTTTTCATGTGTATGCATGATATTTATAAACTGATGTGATTAATATATAAACTGTGTGTTAAATCTGCAGTTATTTTTATTTCCTACATAGAATTTTATGTCATGATTTTTAGGAAGTTGAGACAAATAATATAAATCGTTTCTTAAACTCTGTTTTCTCTACTTCAGGGAAGCAAAAAGAGAAGTTCATATCTCTTCTTTCCAATCCTTTTTTTTTTTTTTTTTTTTTTTGAGATGGGATTTCATTCATGTTGCCCAGGCTGTAAGGCAATGGGACAATCTCAGCTCACTGGCTAATTTTTGTATTTTTAGTAGAGACAGGGTTTCACCATGTTGGCTAGGCTGGTTTTGAACTCCTGACCTCACGTGATCCTCCCGCCTCAGCCTCCCAAAGTGCTGGGATTACAGGCATGAGCCATGGTGCCCAGGCCTTTCCAATCCTTTTTAAGCACATGTATTCATCACCGCCTTCAAAAGTTCCAATTTCTCTAGCTTATATTCAGCTGAATATGACCTTGAATTTCACAGATTCACTTTTTATCCAATGCAAGATTCTATCATGCATATTCACTGCTGTTTAAACATTTCCACTAGTGATGACATCAGACTATGCAGGGGGATGGGGTGGTGTAGGGGTTGTGGTAGGCAGGGCTTCCAAACCAACAAGACTTCCCTCATTCCTTTGGCCACATTAAATACCTGTAAGAGCTAACTAAAGCATTGAGATTGCTATGTGATGAATTGGTTCAAGATTAGTTCATTACCTCTGTCCGCCTCTAGCACCAAGGCTGCTCTAGGCTTTAAACCTCCCAGTGAAAGACTCTGGATCTCAACTGGTTTCCAAGGATAGAGAGAAAATTACAGGATACATTCTAATTATTAATATTACAGATGTTGTCCTTACATTGAGACACACCTGCCTGGACAGTGGTAACCATCTGCTCCTCTGGAACTACATACAAAGACGGGTCCAATCCCTTAAATAAAATAGTTCTTCAGATATTTGGAGACAACTCTATTCTGCGAATCTTAGCTTTTCCGGGCTGAACTGTATCAAATTCTCTAAGTATTATTGGTAGCATTTCTCAATAACAGTAGTAATTGCTTATATTTCCACAGCACTTTGGAGTTTCCAAAACACTTTCACAACTGTAGGTTCTTAATTTTATAAATGAGAAAACTGGCACTCAGAGAGGATAAGTTACATTAGCTTAATAATTGATTTAACAAGTACTAATGGAGTGTCTACTGTATGCCCGGCACAGTGCAAAATCCTAGGATACAGGAGAGAATACATCAAGAATGGTGCCTCCCTTGTAGCTCTTATGATCTAGGAGTGGAGGAATACATTTTTAAAAATTACAGATGATACCCAGATAATACTCACAACTGGTTAGGACTTTAGCCCAAGTCTTCTGTCTCTAAACCAAATTAACAGGCCATTAATTTCAATACAGCAGACACTGCACTTGGATTCATGAAACCCACTTAAACTAGTCTTTCGGCAACTAGTTGTCCTGGTACAAGCTCTTCTTAAGATGTACCTTCTTCATTCCATAACTAAATGTGTGAGGAGTCTGTGCATGTGTGGTTAACTTAGAGGAGAACTCTACACTGATTTCTATAAAATTGTATTTTGCCATTTTCTTTCTATCTCTCTAACTTGCCAACCTTCTTTTGAACTCTTATTTTATCATTTCTCACACGTTAGATCTTCTTCTCAGTTTCTGTTCATCTGCAAGTTTTATGAAATTGTGTTTACCTAGATCACTGACAAGAAAAAAAAAAATGCCCACAAGAAAAAAAAAATGCCCACAAGTGCTTGGTGTGAAAGAAAGAGCACACATTTGTCATTAGTCACAAATTAGATTTCCTATCAGCTAAGTGACCTTGGGCAGATAGCATCCTCTCCCAGAGCAACTGATTACTCATCTGTGAAATGAAGAAAGCAGGCTGGAGAATTTCTGGGGGATTTCCCTGCATTAAAAATTTTAAAATTCAATATGTTTTAAAATGCAAGGCTGAGTTTTAAAATTCTTCCCTTCTGAGTATGGAGAGAAGGAAATGCAGAATATATATACTGATATTTACTGATAGGCACTACCTCCTGCTTCACTAAAGGAAGGAAATAAATCAGCAAACATTGGCGCAAAATTCATACAACAGTGGCA